ACTGAATAACGTTAAGAGGTGCATGTGTATGTGCTACGTATTTCAGTGTTATATTAGAACTGAACATAAACTTTCTTTCCATTTTAATTTGTTCTAATCTTTTCTTTAGAGCTGAAGTCTATTTATCATTATGTGTTTTATTGACAGACTAATCAGTCGATTAACAGGAAATATTTTTTTTTCATATGTTACTGTTGACACTATGAAGTAGCATTTAGAAAAAAAAATGCACTCCTTTGTTAGACTGATCATGTTTATTTTTCTTATTTAAATATGAGACATATATATTTAATCTATTGGTCTTCTACAGGACCAATACAAATGTAGATACCATGGATACACGATTCAAAAACAGGCTTTAAAATCCTGCATGTGAACTCTGGCATCGAACGCATTGAGGTCTGACCAGCTCGCCTACCTTTCAGGTCATAAGTGAAATGTGAGAGTATTAAGTAGAATGAAACGAAGGGGCGACTACAGAGCAAGATAAATGGGTTAGCACAGTATGTTAAGCCCAAAGCTTGAGTTTTCAGTGTCTCCAATGCGGGTCTTTCAGCCTGCGCAGATCACCATGGTAACTTTGGCTTCACACCAGTTCAGAGGAGGTAAACCTCAAATTTTTGGAATTCAACTTTGCTGTAAAAAGAAACTGCCCTTTTACTTTTTCCTCACACTGAGGCACCATATTGCCATCGCACTGTGTGCTTTCAAATAGCATGTGGGCGTTGCAGAACCAGAAGTGCTACCATAATTTTAAGAGCGGTTACGTTCCAGCATGTAGGTTTCACCCAAAATGGCTTTGGGTTGGTAGTGCCATTTATGCGTTCTTTATTACATTAATGTAGACTCTGGTCTTTCAGCTGGAAGATTAGAAATGTATACCTAAGCCATAATCAAATACTGACCTCAAATGGACAACAATAAACATTTAATTGTAGTTTGAGTAGTTAGACAACGGAAATATTAAAGTGTATTGTTTTTTGCTGATGGTATTTTCTTAGCAACTATTTTTAAATATCAAACATAAATGTTACAGAGCTGCTTGTATTGAAGGAGATAGACAAATTAATGCAAATAAAAAAACAGACCAACAGTAGTTGCACTGCAACAGCACTGGACCTAAAAAGCTATAAGCATGAATAACGACATTCACATGTTAAAGTTCAATAATATAAATGCCACAGAGTCCATGTAAAGCTGACCAAAAAGCTGAGATTATGATCATGGATAATCTAAGAGTTGAGCACAAACATGTTTAAATGAGCGTATTTATGAGCAAATGGTAATGGGAGAAATATTAAGTTCTTCCATTTTATTTAGGAGAAAATATTTTTTAAAATGATATACAAAAACAAAGAGCCACCCTCCTTGGCACAATTAAACAGCCCCATAACTGGGTGGGAAACCTCACAAGCAGAAACTTCACAAATTATATTTAAACATAATTGTTTTTTTTTTTGTTTTTTTTTTCTTTTAAGAACATCGATCTCACTGTACACTAAAAAAATGTCATCATATAAAAATGTAGTTTTAATTTGTCACTTTTCCATCAATATTCCAGACAGTGATTATTAAAGACAGGTGTCTTTAAAGCAGAGTTTTATTGACAATTTGGCCAAAATTAAAAGTAAGTTCCTGACCAAACAGAATTGAACATTGGTAAATAAACTGGGAAAAGAGAGGTTATGCAGGTACAATGTGACATTACTGTCTAAATAGGGCAAAACTTTGTGTATAGTTCAAAGCGAATAAGTGCTAGACTGTATGTCACAGCAAATGAAACTCCCATGCTGAAAGCACCAGAATGTTCTACATATAATAATTACTGTTTTTTTGTCTTTGATTTCAGTCTGAAAGGTAAAAATGATCTGAGCTCTTTATTTAACAGCCCCGTTTACTAGAGAGTGTCTCCTCCTCTAACATCTCATAAAATCTTTACCGTGCTTAGTGCTTCACAGACATAAAAATCTAATGCGCACAACTATTGCATTCACCACCAATTAAATCCAGTAAATAAGTGAATATTTATGGAGAAAGTCTTAGAGTATAAATATAGATTATTCAGTGAGGTCAGAGAATATTTCTGTTCATCATCCAGTCTCAAACTGTCACTGCACCAGCAGATACAGTCAGGGAAAGAAAATAGGCAGAGGAAGCCAGCAGTGCTTCAGATTGGTGTGGCAGAGGGTTATTCTTATTATCTTCATTCTGTGACGTTAATCTGTTGTTTACCGCAAGCCAAGTGTTAGCGCAATGAAGCCCTGTGCGAGAAACATTTCCTCAGAATGCCTAAAAATGCTGGTGAGAAAGACAAACTCAGCTTATTCTGTTTATGTTGGTAGATAACAACTGACACAGTGATGAATGTACTCATCTCAAAGTTATTAAGCAGTGAAAGATGTAGTGATATTTATATCGTAAGCATAACGTTATATGCAAAGCAGGCTGTGCCATATGTGAGCTTATGAAAGCACACATGAAAGAGAAGCTTGCTCACCGAGCATGCTTATATCTTCACATTAAGATACATTTAAATATGACAAAGGTTAGGTAATGTGATGTTTGTAAGGAGACTAGCAAAGCTATTGTAACGAAAAACACAGCTTCTGCAGAAAAACAGAAAGTAATGGAAAGTGAAATAAAATGTATGCTTAAAAATGATGCTGCTTATGCAGGTTAATAGAGATTAACACATATCATCTCTTCTCCTCTACATGATGTCTAAGCCTGTGTTGACCAGGAAGGGTCTGCTCAAAATGTGAGTTAATCCGATTTATTGAAAGAATGCAGGAAAGTTACCTCAGAAAGTTGGAGGGAAGAAAAAAAAAATGGAATCCAATACATTTTAAAATATTTTTTTAATATACAAATGTAATCAATTATGTTTTTTTTTTCGATCATCATTATAAAATATATGTTGAAATAAATTATTGAAGATAGAAATAGCCTTCATTGTCCCACAGAGGGGAAATTCAGGAAAATGTTATTTGCAGTCAAATGTATCAAGTTGCTTTGCACCTCATGCTAGCATAACAAGCATGAAGTGGAAAACAATTCTGACAAGAAAAAGATAGAAGGAGCTGTCCAGCAGCCTTGGTTTGGAGGACAATGCTGCAAAAAAACCTGAACTATGGAAACTAAATAAAATGTGATGGGAATAGTAGAAAAAAATGCTTCTACTAATCAGAAAAAAAATGTTTCTACTAAATAGGGTATCTACAATCCCCTATTTTCTAGAGGGGATTGTAGTGGAAAATTTTATCTGGTTATATATATTTATAATATTTTTATTAAAGTCATAATAAATTTTGTAGAATTGACGGTAGATTTGAAAAAGGGGTCACCAGTCACAAGCTACTGCCATTTTTGGAGGCCGTTGCCTGGAACAGTTGGAAACCCCTGATGAGCCCATTGCTGTTATGGTGTTTCGTCATTTTTTGCCCTTTACTGAAAGTTGTTCTCACATCGTAATTCAATATTTGACAGAGAAAGTGGTCTGACCATCTTGTGGAGATGTCACTGAGACATGAGTCTGTTTAATTAGCAGAATATATATATATATATATATATATATATATATTCTGTATATTCAGATAAATTAGAACCCCTTAGCAGTAGATTTGGTAAAACGAGTAAGTACTTAATAAATTCAGCCAATTAGTATACTTTTACTTCCATCTCTTTTTCAATGATTATAAAATTTAGTCAGGTATATAGATGAAATTTATCTTGTATCAAGGACAAAAAAAAAAAAAAAAAAAATGACCACTGCAGCTGTACACAATTTTCTTGGCAGTAATGAATTGATTGCCTCATTAAAGGTGTTGTCTCCAATTTCAAGCAAGAACATTAGATGAGATCTTAAAGTGTGTGTGGTTAATTAATCAAAAGCACAAAGAAAGTAGCTCTAGTTTATTAGTCTGTGTGTACGACGCAGAATTTCAATGTGTCTCACTGTCACGATCTGTGTTTGTGTGTTTATTTTTGAGTTTTTCTTTGTAGTGCTGTTCCCTGTGAGTCTCTGTCCTGTCCTCCCCGTTTGTCTCCCAGGTGTGTCTCGTCCCCTTGATTACCCCGTGTGTATTTAAGTCCACCTGTAGTCTCCGTCTCTTGTCAGATCCTCGTCGTTGTTAGCGTCATTCCTCATTCTTCGTGTCCTACGTCAGTTCGCAGTTTCCTCAGTAGAACTGTATAGTCCTGAGGTTTCATGTGTCAGTCTTTGTCAGTCGCTACCGGTATTAGCTGTGTGCTAACGTGCTGCCTGTCCTGGACTGTGAGATCTTCATTAAATTCATCATCTTCTCCACACCTGGGTTCTCTGCGTCTCTCCTCACCACCACCAACCATACCACTTCATGACACTCACAAAATCTGATTAGGTACATTTTTTATAGTCTTACTAAACTGTTTGGAGCAGGTCAAAGTTTGCCTATCATTTCTTATTTGTTTGTCCTAAGGTGTTTATGATTTACTTAATTGGTTTTGATTCTTCCTCAAGAGATGGGACACAATTAGAAGCATGACTATTGACCAGTCTAGTGATATGCATAACTCAAAATGTGACATGTAGAACCTGTTGTATTTTTGATCAACTTTATAACAGTAATGTCAGTCTACGAAAGTTAGTGGTGATATCGTTTAAAATATAATTGTTCAAAGAGTCGAGCCTACACAAGAAGTTTTTTTGGCTAAATACAAAAAGACAGTTATAGTACTGCTCTCAAATGGCTAGAAAAACAAGTGAATTTATGAAATAAATAAAAAAAAAGGTACATTTGCTGATAGTAGTGTTAGTGACAAAGTACCTCATGCCCTCACACTGGTCATGATTTCCAGTGCTTCTTATTAAGGAGCTGATTCTGACTAGCTGGCATGTATAAAGAAACACACTAGCATGTACAAATAATACAAAGGCTACTTATGAAGCTGGTTTCATTCAAAGACTGTAATCACAAGTTAAAAAAAAAAAAAAAAGATCCAACAATGGGTGTAATTTAAACCTGGCATAAACTAATTGTGTTATTGTCTTCAAGAGAAGCCCAGTGGAGAAGAAAGCGTTTACCTTGATGGCAGTGGAAGCGATCTGGATGTGGTGCAGCTTGTGCAAGGTGCTCTCTCTGTCAATGAAGTAGGAGGCAGCCAGCTGGTGCAGAGCTTCCAGCGTCACAGCTGTGCCGTTGGATTCACTGGCTTCAGACGTCCGACTCAACTTTCTCTTGTCCACAAAGATCATTAAGGACTCTTCCCCTACAGGCGCAGACACAGACAGTGACACATACACTAGCTTCATTCTTTTATGAGTCATAACCCTCTGAACGCATAATGTTTTTAATGTAGATGAACTAACCTGAGCACATCTAGCGGGCCGTCATACGGAAATAGAAACACCAGGGTGTGAGAACACCTTAAAATCCAAATGTGTTCATTTTAATTCAGCCTAAATGTCAATGTAAAAAGTGCTGCTGAAATGCATAAACCAAGACACTTTATGGAACATGTCTTTCAATAAAAATGAGCAAAAGCTCTTGGGGGACAGTGCATTAATAGATTGTGTAAGGAGTGGAGGATCGATAGAAAAAAATCTGTTCTAATGGGATTAGGTTTTATGGGGAAAGTGGTTTTTGTTTGCAGAGACACCAGATTATTGGTGATAGTTGATTGTTAACATGTCTGCGGCAAAACAGTTCTTCTCATTTAAAATACTATTTCCATGTGTAATAACATGTATGCATTTAATGAAATATGATTTTACTCATGAGTTTGTAGTGTGGTTTTGGTATTTCTCCTTATTTCACACATTTCTTTGTAGAAGAATCTCTTGTAAATGTGAAGTGTAGCATTTGCATGGCCGATACCAGTTTCAGCTTTCCATAGGGAAACCTGAAGATGCTAAGTTTGATCGTTTCTGATTTTAGGAAACATTATTGTATAATTTCCTGCAGGTTCTTTGACAGAGGTAGAAATTGTGGGTAAAATTTAAAATGAAGAAATCACAATATGTTTCCCTTCTGATGCAGAGGAGAAGTGGCAGCTATGTACTTTATTTTTAATGAACAAGAAAAACACCATCAAATGCATGCTTTTGGTTGATAGAGTTCAAAAGCCCAAATTGTGGGACTTCTTAATTTTACTGTTTTTAGAGGAATTGGAAAAAAAGGATTTCTTTGTGTGTGTGTGTGTGTGTGTGTGTGTGTGTGTGTGTGTGTGTGTGTGTGTGTGTGTGTGTGTCTGACTTGCCTATATTCAGTCAGAGGAAAAATGTCCTATTTCAAAATGTGGCTAACTGATTGACTTATTTATTTTATGAAATTATCAGTTGTGCTCTTGTGTATTTAAAAATTACTTTTTTTGCATCCTGAAATATGTATTATAAAGTTCTTTTGAAAAATTGTTTGTTGCTCATTATGAGACTTTTCTTTGCTCTTCAAAGACAACTTGAAGTTTTGTAGCGCTGACTTATTTATTTATTTTTGTTTTGTAGGAACTAAATTATCCTCTTTATGAAGCAAAAACACAACTGCACACTGAAGCCAGCAGCTTCATGCTGTTCCACTGATCTGCAAGTGGTGGTTCTATGCCAGAAAATGAAGCAACACAAGCAGCAAAGGGCGGCTGTGAGCTTGCAGATTTGGATGGATATGCAGGATTTCAAACATTTGATCTACTTTATTCTCTGGGTGTCAGAAAATTTTGCTTTGTCAAAGGTGCTGGGATGATGTGACATAAAGGAGCGTTCACAATTATCAAATAATGTTAAATGTAAAAGTTTCCAGAATTTATATTGAGAAAAGAAAAAAATCCCAGAATCTTTTCTTTGGGACTGGATCCTGAAAATTAGGGAGCAAATTGTTCAGAGCTTGGACATAATCATTATAGCATCTTCTTCTGCATATCTTTTACGCTTAAATGTTTGTACTTATTTTTTATTTCATTTGTTTGTGTTTTGTTGCTGATTTCTTATAATCCAATTCAGTTCCAATTTGTTCATTTTAATGCAGTTAATTTCAGTAAAATATGACTCAAAGTCTAAGTTGATCCTAGTTATCAACACTGACATATGTTCCAGTGTTTTTTTTTTTTTTTTTTTGTTTGTTTTTTCACCTTGTCAGGATGTGTCACTCCACCACATATTTGGTGGAGTCTGGAGTAAAATCGTCTGTGAAGATTACTCTCACAAGCACATTTCAACTCTACGCACAGTCCTGTTAATCAGTTCACTTTAGTCACGTGACATGGTGATTGTAGACCACTGGCCTCTACTCTCCCCCCACCACCAGCTAAAGGATGAATGCTTCACAGATCATTATCTCTGCAATTACGTCCAATCATATATATTTAATTAAACATGGTATATGGTTTTACATACCAAAGTACTATTACACCATGCAGGTTTTTAATCACATTTCTTTTCCAACAGTTAATCAAAATCCCAAGCATTGAAAGTTCCAGCCCCAATAATTTACCTTTAAAGAACTGGAAACTGAATTCACATTGGAGAAGAAACCCTGCAGCAAGGCACATAACTGGCAATAACAAAGGGATGTGACTTGTGTATTATGAATTAGGTTTAGTATTGTACATATTTAATGAAATTAGAGGTAACATCTTTTTAGTCACAAGAACACACACCATGTTTTTTGACAAGTCACTTTGAAATATTAACAAACTTCTAAAGGGGATCCGTAAAACAGGACAGAGGTGATGCTGTGAGCCGTTTGTCACGCGGCAGAATTTGTTTATCTCTCTTATTTTCCAGCAGATAATGGGCAACATTGCAATTTACTTTTTTTTTTTTTTTTAATACTGCTGGTATTCATCATTTGAGAGTTTCCGCACAAATGTGAAAGGATGAAAGGAGTCAGCAGAGGAGCGAAAGGGAGGAGACGATGCACACGATGGCCTCAGACGCTGCGCTGAACATTGCAGCACTCTGGCCAACTTGGATCTATTGTTCTGGAAAGGATCCAGTGGCAGTTTATTTCAACAGAAACATCAAAGACATTTGTTTTGCATGTTTAATAACAAAATATGAGCCCAGGAAATTTCACACCGGCGAGCTATCTCTTCTTTCTACGAACACAATGAAAACTGTTCCAGTTTATCCATTGTAGCATTTTGAAATTAAAATAATTTTTTAAAAGATTTTTTTTTTCTGTGTAAAATAATTTATCTTAAAGTTGAAGAGGAAATGGAACTGACAATGCTATCAATTGCTATGAATGTAATTTATTCACCTTTTTTATCCAGTTCAATTGGCAATTTCCATCTAGTGTGTATTGTGCTTCTTTGTTTTCATGTTTATGTCAGTTTCTCAAGTTCAAGCAGTGGTGAAACGTATAAAATTATCAAACTGTATTTCTTTAAAAACTGTGTAAAAAGGAGGAGTTCTGCCGCGTCTCAGCCATATAAAATCCCCATCTGCTTCTCCCCGTCTGTTAAGGTAGGTCGGCAACAGCAAAGAAAAACACTACCCGTCTTGTTTTATTTACCTCCCAGCATTGCGGAGAGCAGGAAGTGGGTTCCGTATTTCCTGATGAGGTTGTCAGTGATGGCCCTGAGACTGGGCCTCCTGCCCAGCTGCCTAATGGTCTGGAGGAACTCTGGGTCCAGCGGCAACGAAAAGCCATTGTTTTCTTGTCTCTCCAGGGCCAAGCTGTTCACCTTCCAACGGCCAAATTCCCTGCAATATCACACAAACGCATGCTCTGTGTGAGTGAAGGATGCATCACACACATTTTATGAATGCAGCATGGAGGCTGATTTGAGAGAGATTATAGGCAAATGTCGGATGGAGGCGTACACAAAACAGTTTTCTTTATTAAAATCACAAACAAAAGCTACAATGGTTACAGGCCGTTCTTGTAAAAAAAGAAACAAAAAAAAAAAAAAAACACAATGAAGAGTATTTTGTGCTTATCTGAGAAGGAGTCCAGTGTGTATTGTTTTCCTTTTGAAATGAGCAGGTGAAAGCTGATCACACTGAATCCTGCATTCAGGAGCCGATCTAGCAAGGTGTAAAATATGATGACTTCTAAGTGAATCTCATGTGCTACAACTTTATATGAACAATCCAATGTAGTTTCAAGTTGCCACTCAGGGAATTGGATTGCACCATGGTGGAAAAAAAAATGTTTTGAACCAATTTTAAATAATAGCTCTATCTTTCTCATCTTGAGTCAGATTTTGAGGCATTGTGGTCGGAAAAGGCTGCAATCATGGATGGAGCCTTGCCGCTTTTGGGGGGCCTCTTTTGGACTGAGCTGGCTTCATATGTGGTTTATTGAAATTCAGCCTGGCCCTGGTGTATGCCAACTGCATTTATCATCCAAGTGCAGACTGAATGCTGCTTCTTGATGCGTAGATTAGCACTATTCAAATACAGCCGGTAACAAACATGGTCCTTTCAGCCTAGCAGAAGAAAGATCCCTGACCTTTGAATTGGTTCTGGCAAGATGACCTAGCTTTTGATCAAAGACGTGAAAATAACATATCACATCTTTCCAAGTGTTCCCTCTTTGCACATTTTCAAAAGGTGGAATTTTATAGAAATAGAAACCTTGTTGGAGAGGCTCGCACAAATTGAGCTCAGATTTGTTCATAACCCTGCCACATTTAGCTCACAAATGATTTTTGTTCAACCATTAAGTTTAATATTTGATACCTGAAAAATAATTTAACAACGTAAAAGGAGCATCGGTCAGATATGATCAGTTGTGGGGTTTTTTACACTATAAAAAAAATGGCATTTCAAAATTTGGTAACACTTTATTTGAAGGGGGTGAATAAGACTGTCATGACACTGTCATAAACATGACAACACATGTCATGAACATGAATAAGCCTTCATGAATATTTATGACTGTTGTCATAAAGCGTCATTCGGTAAATTATGACACTTTTAATACAAAGTTGACATGATTCAAAATCTCTTTGATATGACAACTTGACATTAACCAAGAAATCATTACTGATATAAATTTGTTATAAAAGTATTACTGATTGCACTTTAAAAATTAGGTAACTTTATGTTATTAAAGGTAAAGTTTAAACAGTAATGATTTCTTGGTTAATGTCAAGTTGTCATAACAAAGACATTTTGAATCATGTCAACTTTGTATTAAAAGTGTCATAATTTACTGAATGACACTTTATGACAACAGCCATAAATATTCATGAAGGCTTATTCATGTTCATGACAGGTGTTATGTCATGTTAATGAAAGTGTCATGACAGTCTTATTCAACCCCCTTCAAATAAAGTGTTACCCAAAATTTTAAATCCGTCTCAATTAATGAATGGAGAAAAAAAAATGTATTCAAATTACAGCAATCAAGTATACCTTTTAAATGGCCAGCCAGCTTTTTGCATGTCTACATAATTTATCTGAAAGAGGCCCATGTATTGGAACATTGTCGGAAAGCCCTCTTTGCCTTTACGGTAATATGTTTGCTCCCTCTCTACCAGAATCAAGTCAGGACTCTGTCCGGGCAACTCCAAAATATTAATATTTCCCTCAAATACAAGAAACGTGTTGGTATGAATCAGTTTGGACCTTATACATGAATACAAATGGGACACAGCTTACATTTTACTTCAAAATGTAATTTCACGTGGAAAATTGAATATCATTGAGCAAAGGTCTCCACAATGACTGCATATGAGGCAAATGTGTAGGATGTAAACAATTCATGGCCAAGTCATCATACCAGGAACATCATATCTTAATATACAGACATCCTGTTAGCAGTGTTCTGAGATTCTGTCTATTTTTTTTTATTTAACAATAAGCAATTTCTTTTTCAATAAGCAAACCTCTGTGATCTCAGCCTCAGAGTAAAAAGAATGACCAACTTGCGCCTATCTCTTATTGCTTCTTTCAAACAATACATCACGTTAATCAATACATTACTTTATTCAACAGCTGCAAGAGTGTTTTTTTATGGCTAGTGTTGAAACAAGGCCAGCCTTCGTAAGTGCTTACCATGATCATCAATATTTGTTTGATTGCCTTCAGAAGGGGGCTTTATTGTTTATTGTTGTATTTCATAATTGTCCATCTCACGCATTGGATAAAATATCGGAACAAAACGTCTTTAATTCAGAACAACTATGGACCATCCGAACTGTAGAAAATAAATGGATCCCCCCAACAAGCCAAAACACAACCATTAGATGCTTTTGTAAACAAACTATTTGCTAAGAAAGATTTTTATGCAGCTGCTTTGTAGATCCAAAATGCTGATGCTTTACTACATCTCTTGCTTTTGAATGCTATACAATTCTTTGCATTAGATTTCGCCTTTTTCTGCCAAATAACTTCAAATCTAGCATTCATTCTCCTGTGAAGTCTTGTCTTTTCACCAGTTCTTATCAAACATTTGGCTCTTGAGCTTCATTAGTTTCTTGACACCATTAAAGTGGACATTCAAGGGCAGTAAAGACCACCAATATTCCATGACCCGTATACAGCCATGCATTCGTAAGGAAAAGCAATTCATGTAAGTCAGCTGTTCATCATCATTAGTCAGATAGCAAAAAACAAAGATAACACAAAAACTGAACAATGACCAACTAATTTAAGCTAAATAATTGCAATCTAAGACAGATACAGTCAAGAATACTAATACACAATGTGCAATGTTAAGTAATCTATGACAAAATATTTTAATAACCATTTTTCAACCTTGTTTATTTTACTTTGTTAAAAAAAATAGAGCCAAATAAAAAGAGGTGATGTCATACTTGAAAAAACACTAGTTGTGACAAATAAATTTGAAATGTTGTGACTTGTGAACATATTTAAATTTTCGCAGACACAATATTTTAACAAATGCATAACCATACCCCACACAACCTATTCAGAGGGGCACTTTTCATGTCCAAAACAGCTCATGCAACAGAGAGCTCACAGCTGTCCGTCTGCTGCATTCAGGGTTCTTCCTCACACTTTGGGACTGAGGAACTTTCTCAGAGGTTAATGATCTAAGAACACGAGTTTCATTTATCTCATAACTGAAACTCATGTTCTGTAGTAGTGCCAAATCTCACCATCCCTTCGCTTCTTGTTCATCATGTTGGAACCAGCATCTTGCAACCTAGTCATACCAGTAAAATCATATTTGTCTTTCTTATAGCTACATATTTTCACGAAAGAAACAAATCTGTTTTGACTCTTTCCTCTCCAAACTCCACAGAAAACACTCAATGTCACTCATGGAACAAAAAACAAACAAAACAAAAAAAAAAAAAAAAACATGCACACAGACACATCGTCCAACGGCAAACATCCAAACAAAGCAGCAGAAAAAACTTTGCTGTTTCCCAGAATATGACACCCCCCATGGGTGTGGGACTGCTGCCAATCAATTCCTCACCAATAACAATGCCTCCCCCCAAAGAAAACTACAAAGAGAAAACAGCTCATTAAGGCCTTTTTCATGTCGGTGTCTCTCTTTAACGAGCAGCCATTAGTGTTTGTGTCCATCCGCTGGGGCCAGCTAAAGAGAGGAGCAGCGTATGGATAAAAGGGGAGAGTTTAGCTGTGATCAGCACACTGTGTGACTGTGATGGACATTTATGAATGGTGTCCCAGCTTGGACTCACACATACATAGATTTTTATAAATTCCACTACAGCATCATTGGACACATACGCAAATGCATAGCAGGTCCTGCATTTCGTGGAAAGTTTGTATCGTCATTCACTGTTTTCAGTGAGGCATCGAGTGACTGAAACACATGCAGATTTATCTGTTTCACCCATATCTGCGTAGAAGACCCCAACCCCCACGTTCATCTCTTACTGTCAAGCCCCCCTCTGAGAAAGTCAGTGCAGTGCCAGGTAAAAGAAGAGTTATAGAGCAGATGCCAAAGCTACAGGGGCTATGATCAGAGCACAGGAGTTATACCTTTCGTTCTGTTCGTCATAGCACAGCTGTCTCAGATCCATCACTGAGCACAAGCTGCCCGAGGGCTCTTCTCAGTGCCCAACATAGCAAATCAGGGAATCAACACACTGAATAGCCTGCTGATGCAGTTGAAACTTGCGTCTGAGCACTACTGTGAAGGCTATGCTCAGTTTAGTATCTAAGTAGGGGAAGCAAAGACAGTGCTTTCTTCTTTTTTTTATGCAATCTTCCCCTGATGTGTTCAAATGACTAAGAAAAGGAAAAGAGATTGAAAACAAACCCCATGGTTCAGTTGAATATCTGAAAAGTGAAACTAGACTAATTTCTGAAAGAGGCAGTTTTTCCGTGTACTTCAACGTTATTACTCTAAATCATATTTCTAAAAGTTATTCTCACTTCCATGAAACAAAAAATCACATAAACATCACTCTAGGGATTGGTGTTTATGCATCAAAACGCATCTGAAATGTTAAAAGATTTTGTAATGACATTTTCAGAGCGCCAGAATAAGTTGTTTAAATTATACATCCAATGTACGTACAAGTTACTCTTATACATACATTTCTATATGAAAATAATTGACTTTATTCAACAATTTACACAAACATTGATTTATGAATACTAACGTTTATTGGACGGATGGACAGTCGAGCAGCCAGATTGATTTCCCAGAAGCCTATAGCGCACTTTTCACCATTTTTTTTGAGACTGTATAATTTGAAGTGACCAACTACGCTTAGGATATTTTTACTAGGTTGAGTAAAGGGCTATTT